AAGGCTGCTACCTACAAACATAACAATGCAAACACAGAATAATCACACACAGACATCCATGCCTCAAGTAGGATTCGAACCCACGATTCCAGCGTTCGAGAGAGCGAAGACGCTTCATTCCTTAGATCGCCGGGCAGTGTGATTGACTATTAGGAACAGTTACAGTTTGGAAAAACAAAGCCCCATGCAGAGATAGGCAACAGTTCAATTCACGAATATTATGGAGCAGGGCTCCTGGAGGGGTTCCTTCTGAAGCGATGATATCCACCATTACACAGGCTAGACAATACCACAACACAGAAGAGCCGGATACAACAGTCGTTCCATTACTGAAAAAGTCCCCCCGCGCTGTTTGTTATGCTGGTTATTTAGTGACGCCATCGGTGCCGAAACTGTATGAATTCGGATGGTACGTATAATATGATTAATGAATGTGGAATAGTTGATATGAGAAGTTGCAGGGGACTCCCTCCTACACATCGTTCACCACAAATCCCGCTCGACCTGACCTTGAACCGAACCTGGATGGCCTCTGTGGGAAGTCCGCGACTAGTTACATGATCTCTGACACGACCCCCTGCCTGCTGTGGAATCCGAAGGTCATTATTGTGACGTCGAAAGCCCACCAAGTTAACATCACGGTCGAATAGAAATTTTCCATCGTGTACAGAAGTTAAAAAAAGGTCAAATTGTCCCTCTGCTTAATTAAATAAGCACCACATCATGAAGACGTACGGGATAATGGCGGTATAGCTCCACCATTCTTGACCTCGGCACTAGATTGAAGTAAATGGTCAGCTTCACTCCCCTGGCCGCTTTAACCCCGGGGAAAGGTAACCGGTACCCATTTGATAGGAGGCTTGGTGTAACCGAGAGCCCTTTTGTACGTTGTGGAGAAACTACAAATCTCTTTCCCCTGCCGGGAATTGAATCCCGGCCGTCCAACCCGTAGTCCATCTCTGTACCGAATGAGCTGTCCCTCCCACAGGTGTGCGGAAGGTTCTTTCTTAAAATCTCGGCCCTTAAAACCGTCCGTCGTCTTTTTGTTTCTTTCTCCGCCCTTCAAGGGACAGTGTCTTCAAATAGGCTACGACGGCTTCCTTCCATATGTGTTCCAATTAGTTATTCTCTGGCCATCCGTCACACCAGTAGACGCTACGTGTAATTTGAGTGAGAGCCTGTCTTGTATTACTATCCAGAGCGAATTAAATATTTTTCCACTACGTTCCCTTGAAATTGTGCCCGGGCCGGACATTTCTCTAACTGTCGTTTATTCAAAGAATTTCCCGCGCATGTCACATGAGGACGGTCTTTACAGTGAAGAAGAGCGAGTGGAGGTAATTAAGAGAATTGTGAATGTGTGAACGGGACTAATTAATTGGGATCTTAATGCCACAACTTAATAAGGTAAAGGTGTCCCTGTGCTTAAGTAGTTAAGCACTACGCCATGAAGACGTATGGGGGAGTGAAGGTATAGATCCACGTTCTCTTGACCTCGGCACTAGTTGGAGGTGAGTGTTCAACTTAACGCCCCGGCCGCTTTACCCTCAGTACCCGTTGGATACGAGTCTGTGTGAGCCCTAGAGCCGGTCTGGACGACTTGGAGAAAAGAAAATTCTTGAACCTACCGGGACTCGAGCTTCGAACCCTCGATCGTCCAGCTCGTAGCCAGTAGCTCTACGACATTTGGGTATATTTTGTTTAAAGATATATTCATACATTGCATATTCATTTGTATTCTGATGTTTTTGTTAATAAGCCTGTATATTAATTTACATCCCTTAGCTAGTCTAACGAATTCCATCTCGCCAGATGTCTCTTCAGACCACCCAGGCACTCTTTCCATGTAGTAACATTTGGACAGTAACTATATCAGTTACTAGGTGTCATGTTTTATTATAATAAATAATAGAATATATACTTGAGAGACAACTGTGGTCTGCAACAGCTTTCCCTCCGCAGAAGGCCTTGTGTTAGCAAGAACACACGATGTCTTCTATAGCAGCTCAGGAAAAGCCGGCAGCCATTTCATGTAAACGCTTAAATACATTTCTGTGCATATTTACAAAAGAATATGTTCATGTCTAGAACTGTGCCCGAAGGAAGCTACAGACCCGGATGGTATTTACATATTTCATAATCATCGTCTCCATCACTGTTAAGTATCTGCCAATTGTTGCTTCGATTCTCTCTCTTCTAGTGTCTTCAACTGTCATGTGTCTTGTTCCAATTGTTTTGCCTGTTATGTTTCTGTTGAAGCTTGTCCTCATGCTTCAATATGTTTAGCGTTTTCTTCAGGGCCGATGCAGCGGTTACATGCAGGGCCTGATGACCGGGACGGTAGCCCCAGGATTTCCACAAACCGAAAGCAGAATCCATAGATTTTGTTGAGTCACTTGCTTCTCTACAATCACGAACACTTATTTGTAATTTTAGTTACTCTAAGAAATAAGAACAAAGAGAATAAAGAATCGTCATAACCCAAAATATGGGAGCCGAGATAACGTACTCGGTATAACGACTGGCTACGGGATGGACGGCCGAAGTGTCGGAGTTCGAGTCCCGCTGAGGGCAAAATTTCTCATCTTCAAGGTCGTCCAGACTGGTTCTGGAGCCACCCCGGCCTCCTACCCAATGGTATATTGGGGGCCCTTTCCCAAGAGGTAAAGCGGCTGAGGCCTGAAGCTAACCACTCATCTCCAACTAGTGCCGGGGTCAAGAATATGTGTACGTGGATCTATACATCTTCATGGCCTAGTGTTTAATTAGTTAAACAAAGGTACATCTTTACTTTTTTACCTGTTATAACCTGAAGTTATATTTATTGGTAAGGGCCACCACACTTCGATTGCCCTGGGGCTTCTGCATTTTGATTGCCTCAGGGCTCCCACAACTGTAAATCACCAAGAGCTGTCTGTAACAGGGTGTCCACTGGATGGAGACGTTGTGTCTTGTCTTCACACCTCCCGCTCTTCATGCATTTGTTTGCCTTAGAGCTATGTAATTACTGTCAGATGATAGAATAATAGACCTTATATAAAGAAACATGATGATTAACGTATATTCTGGCGTTCGGCCAGGCGTCCTCTCTTCCTTCATCCCAGCCCCCTGAGGTATCCATTCCATTACTTTCCCGGTTTACGTAATCCCACAATTCCCGTTTACCACGTGACCAGCCCCTCCTCCAGATGTTCTAGTATGTGATTTCCTCTAGGTATTGAGGCTTGAGAAAAAGTATTTTCTTTTGCCAGCGGTCAAGCGAATAAGTTNGGGCCCGCCTCGTTGCAACGTGAGTGTTAGGCGCTTTGCAACAAGGTTTGCTGGGCTTTTAAATGACCGCCTCTGAGGTCCAGTAGTCAAGAGTTCCTGCCTACAAATTCAGAGGTCCCGGTTCGATTCCCAGCGCTACCAGATTTTCTGAGAAGTAGTGGGGTCTGGAACGGGGTCCACTCAGCGTCGTGCGTATAATTGAGGAGCTATTTCAAGGAAATAGCAGCTCCGGTATGGAGAAACGAGATTAACGGCCGTGGGGTTTCGTTGCGCTGACCTGACCACGCGACACCCTCTATCCGCTAAAGTTGGCACTAACTTCGCTGGCAAGCGGCGGTCGTTCGGTCGGTATAGTTCGCTTGCGGACTCGAGCCAAGGACTTAAGGGACTTTGGTGTGTGTTTTGGCTTGTTACCGCCCCATTTAGTATAATTGAGATTTATTTAATTTATTTTCATTTGGGAACGTTGCAGCGTGAGTTTATTCGATGTAATATTATTATTTTGCTTAGGCTTACCGTTGCCCAATTTCATGTTGTTGTGTGTCTAGGTAGTGGCGAAATGTTATGACCTGGTTTCTCTAGAAGTGTTACGAGAGTTTAGCCAAATTTTCTAGACGGCTACGAGTGACTATCATATGTATATTTTTTGTGACTTCTTTCTCTTTGGGTTTCTCTCTACTAAGATGGTCGAGCCCATTTAAGCTCATGCATATTTGTTATGTTAAAGCAAAGTGTTTAGTCTCTGTTATTTTTATTTTGGTGTTATTGTTATCATTTGTTATTAAATATTTGCTTGTGGAGATAATAGTTTTTCTTTTGAGTATGCTAAAAACCTGGCCACCCAAGTCTATCAGGGGATCTTATGTGGACGCAACACAGGAACCATGGACGAATGGAGCTCCCACACCCTTTTAAGTTATCAGTTGTTGGGTAAAGAGGGGAGGAGCTGTTAAATCTGCTGCCGAGGTCAAGAATTGTGAAGCTTTACCTCCAGTTCTACACACTTCTTCATGGCATGGTGTTCAATTAATTAAGGCCAGGGACAAATTTCCCATAACCTACCTAATCTTTGCCTCTCAAGTGGTCGTTTCTCTTCAGGATTTTTGATCACCCTTTTAACACTTGGTGAAGAGTACAAATAATGAAGCTTCTTGTCATGTCATTTTCTCCGGACTGTCTTGAGAGGCGCCGATCACAGTGGCGGCGCGGGCGACGGCATGAACTTAGGGCCTCGCCATAGCTCAAGCGGTCAGTCGCTGGCTTCCCACCGCGGCGGCCCGGGTTCGATCTCGGGTCTGGTCAAGTGGAATTTGTGGTGGACAAAGTGGCGCTGGGGCAGGTTTTCTCCGAGTACTTCGGTTTCCCCTGCCAGTCTTCATTCCATCAATCGCTCTACAATCACCCTCACTTATCATCTGGGGCTGGTACAATAGGCCAGAAGTGGCCGCAGTACAAGGGACCCCACTAGCAATAAAAAAAAGGCATGAACTTTCTTCGCCTGCTCAAACACTGGGATCGTGTGTTCAAATGACGATGTCTGTGTGTGTCTATTCTGTCTTTATGTTCTGTGTATAGGTAGAGGCCTTGCGACGGGCTGATCCCCCGTCAAAAGAGTCTATGCCGATTGTGTATAGGATCAAGAAACTGAAAAAGCGGCCAAGGCCTACAAGGGCTGTAGAGCCATAGATAGATAGAGGTGTGCTAACCTAAGATTTTTTCCGTATCTGCAGAGGCATTGAAGGTTGGAACAAAATGGCTTCTCCCACATCGCGCCCTGAGCCCGCCCTTTCTTGGCTGGACAGTGCTATCCGGGTGAAGCCTTTGCAACTCGCTGACAGCTGGAAGAAGCAACAGGTAGGGCCACATAACGTACGTCACTTCCTCTTCCTGTATAGCCATGCTTGTCCATTGTAACTAAACTTGGCACAGAGCATATTCTTACCTCATTCTTTCTAAATGACGGAAATTGAACCACCACATATACTCTATAAGTATTCATAGAGCCAAGCGAAGATGGTTCAGTCAGTATATCGACGGGCTACGGGCTGGAAGACCTGAGATCGATTCCCGGCTGGGGAACAAGATCTTCTTGTACTCCACAGCTTCCAGCCCATCTCTGGGGCTCAGAAGCTTCCTCTCCAATGGGTGCCGGTGTCTCTTTCGCGGGGGATAAAGCGGCAGATCGTGAAGCTCACCACGTACCGTCACCTGATGCCGAGGTCAAGAATCGTGGAGCTATAACTCCACACTTTTGTCGTAGCGTCGTGATTAGTTAATTACGCTCAGGAATAAATTTTCCTTTTACTCAATCATCAATTTATGTACTCATTCAACTCTCCTCCAAGAAGATGGGGCGCCGCCACATTTCTGCCACCATGTTGGGGATCACGTGGGCAGAGATGGCTGGGAGAAGGATCGGCAGAGATGGACCAATTGCTTGGCCTCCTAGGACACCAGATTTAACCCCAGTGGATTTTTCCTTGTGGGCTTATGTGAAGAACATTATCTACCAGGTTAAGATCAACGAGCTTCAACACCTGAAAGCCCACATAAGGGACGCTGTGGCTACGGTAACACCAAACATGCTTCAAACAACGTGGAACGAAGCCGAATATTGTCTGGATATTTGTCATGCCACAAAGGGAGCCCACACTGAAATTTATTTAGAAAGTTATATGTTCAGAAAAAAATGATAATTCCCCTTTGTATTAGTGTAACCCATTAATGTGTATAATATATGATTTCTGAGATATAATTATTTTATTTTGGATACCTTTCATCCGGACATTCTGTATTTCTTGCTGCTGTCCATATGCACTTATCATAGTATTTCTGTTTATACAAGTTCACCGGCAGACACATTTCAGCTTGGTCGGCCATCTTCGTGATATTTTGTCCATTGCTGCCAGTGGCATGTTTAGCCCTTTTGTTCATCTCTTTTTGACGGCTTTTCCAAAAAAAAAGTGTATTGTTTTTATTTTCTCCATAAAGTCCACATCGGTTCTGGGACCCACCCAGCCTCCTATCCAATGGGCAACAGGGGCTCTATCCAAGAATTTTAAGGGTCAGGGGCATGAAGCTGACTAATCACCTTCATCCGTTTCAAACTAAAACATAATGGAGTTATAACTCTACTCCTCTTTATGCCTTCATGTTGTGATGCTTAATTACACAATTAAGTACAAGAGACACATTTAACTTCCTGTCGTTACAGATTTCAGATTCATTGATGACAGATGAATATTTCATATGCTCTCATGCATAATTTTTAACTGGGAATGGACAATGTCATTCATTATGCTGTCTTCTTGACTTTAATGCAGTATCATTATTATTATCATGTCAGGCATGGAACCGTGTGTTCTGCTATGATATCTCTTCAGTAGTCTTAAACTCTTAGGCTGTTTCCCTTAATTCCTCTTTCTCCTAGCTTTGTACATGGTAAACTATTTTAGTACTTATGATCTGAGATTCTCGCAACGGTGATTATGAAGATTTCTGTCTTTTGCGCTTGCTACCTGCGTCAAGCTGGTTTCTTGCGTTGCTTCTTTTAGACTCTGAAGTTGGCGGCGACATGTTCCTTCGAAACGTCGAAACTATACGGCGTTATATCCCAGAGGATAGTACTCTATTGGTATTCTTCTCTTTTATGTTCTTTTACATGCTGTTTGCAATAAGGTCGGTAACCTTTTACACAATACATAAATTAATAAACTAATTCATTGGAGCTGATTTCTTCATGAGAAGCTGCAAGTCGCTCTGCTACTCAAGAATTTACAAACATTTTGTGGAAACCGAAGGTTCATTATCATGTTCACAAGAGTCCTCCACTTGTCCCTGTCCCAAGCCAGATCAATCCAGTCCATACTATCCCATCCTATTTCTGTAAGATCCATTTTAATATAATCCTCCCACATAAGTCTATGTCATCCTAATGGTCTCTTTCCTTCTGAATTTCCCACTAACACTCTATGCATTCCCCTTCACGCGTGCTATATGCCGTGCTCATCGCATCTTCCTTGACTTGATCATTCTAATTTTACTTGGAGAAGGGTTCAAGTTATGAAGCTCCTCATTATGAAATTTTCTCTAACCTCCTGCAATTTTATACCTCTTCAGTCAAAATATTCTTCTCAGTACACTGTTCTTAAACACGCTCACTCTATATACTCCCTTAATATCTGGGACCAAGTTTCACACCCATACAAAATTGTCACAGGAATTAAATTTGTCAACTTGGTGACTCTTCAGTCTCTGACAATACTGCTTCGATACGATATAATCCCAACGCGAAGCCTCAACTTGAACAGACCAATACAACACAGAAATTTGCGCGTTGACATTCATCTGTCATCTAGACGTCGAGCTCTGTGTTGGAGAGACTGTAAGCCCTTTATTCATAAGAGCAGAGAATATTAAATGTGTTTAGCTTATTAACAAAGAGGAAGAACCGAACTGAAGTGGTTTAAAAAAGTGCAGAATGACATTAAGGCAGAGGCCATATAGTGGAGAAGAATTGGATTCTGTTGTAAATGAAGCCACGCTTCTTAGATTACCGTAGACTAGTATGTGCCTTATTAACTCTACGAAATTTACACATCGGATTGAAGCTATAAGAAATTAACTCAAAATCCTTTCACATATGCAATATTCGAATGTGGACGTAGCTGAAAATAACTTGCTTTTAGAAGCACAAACACAGATCACTTAAAATGAGAGCTCAAGGAATCAGAGATATCAACGTTATATGAACTTATTTAAGGGCATATCAAAACTGATTAATAGAAAGTTAAAAGTTCAAGGAGTTGAACCTTAGACGTCGACAGTGATAATATGTGCCATAGCAAGAAATTCTGGATAGAACTTGCAACTTCCACTTACCTTCAAATGCTTCAGTCCATGATCAGAGGATAGCGCAGCCTATAAATTCATAATTATATAATTATTATTTCCTTTATGAGTATAACTTCCACTAGTACGTATAATATTTGTCAGATATAACCTCAAAGTTTCGCATCATCGCCATGTTTGTAATTGTTAATATACAGAAAATTTTCATGCTAGATATAGGTATGTTTATCTACCTATATATCAAGGTAAAATGCCAAACTTTAATGGTTCGTTCGGGTCCGAGATCCTTGGTGCTCGAGATCATATTTTACTGTCTCAAATTCGAGACTTCCCTTTTCGTCGCCTCCTACGACTCGCAGGGTCAAGGTGGAGGTATTCGAACCCGCCTCCACACGGGCCTGCTGTGAAGAAGATAATACTCTAACATGCAGAGCTAGGAAACGGCTGGGTAAACACATTTCCTAGGTAACAAAGTCAACTATAGAACTTCGATTACTAGGGTTTTGTTACACGAAGTGTAAATTTAACTGGTTAAAAACCGATATCCACGACAAAGAACTGTTCAAAGCACAGTAACGGCTAAGAACGCAATTACTGTACTGTTGAAAGAGCTAACTTCTACACGGTTCGCCGAAACATAACAGGAGAGTTTGCCAGAAGAATTAATTACGGGATTGCGGAATTACTTAATCACTGACTTGTGGAATTAAGGAATTGGACTTGGCTTCTTACATACTTAAATCACTGAATTCGTTCCAAGAACATCCAAGAGTTGAAGTTGTGAAGACTTTACTTTATGTTTTATTGTTCCAGTAATCTTTTGAAGTTTTATAATTATCTGTAGTTGCTCCTGGTGCCTGTCCAATACATAGATTTATCTAATCCGGGAACCCATTATTAGTCATGTAACCAGCATAACTGATAACATCATGTCCCTGTTTGTAATCGAGCCTCCGTTCCTCGGTCGCCCATCCCGTACACTAGCTATTATACTGAGTGGCATTATGATCTTAAAACCGAAACTTATATACAGAGATCACTTAACCGCCTGTACACTGTACCAAATAAATTAATCGTATAAAATTACGAAAATTGTCATATTTGTCGAGAATCAAACACGGCACAAAATCTCAGGATCTTACGTTAAATGGCAACAGTCTCTCTCCGTCCTCACAAGTTCGCATAGCAGCCATGTTGTTCTCATCAGTTTTGGGGAATTAAGAGCGGCTTCTGTCAGCATGAGATTTGCATCGATCTCTAGGCTTCTTAACTCATGAAGACGTGTAAAAGAATGGAGGTATAGCTCCACCATTTTTAATGTCGGCCCTACCTTCACGCTTCTGCGGCTTTACCCCCGGAGAAACAGCCCCCGGTACTCATTGGATAGGAGGTTGAATGAGCCCCACAGCCGATCTGGAAGTTTAGCCGAAGAGGAAAATATCTTGCCCCTTCCGAAATCGAACCCCAATTTCTCAGTCGCCCAGCCTGTAGCCTAGTCACTATATCGACTGAGTTATCGTGGCTCCACAAGCGTCAGTATTGTTGACAGAAACGGAGAGACGCTACGGCGGCGTCTAAGCCCATGTCAGCATGAACTTGACTATGCTAAGAATGAATGCTTCTCTTTTGCATATGCTGCCATGATTCACAGATGAAAACTCCGTGGCTTTAGTCGAGAGACTACCCCTTGTCAGCGAAGTCAGTGCCAACTTTAGCGGATAAAGGTGGTCAGCGCAACGGATCCCCACTGTCGTTAATTTCGGTTTTCTAGACCGTAGCCACTATTTTTCCATTCAAGTAGCTCCTCAATTATCCTCACGAGTCTGGATGGATCCCGTTCCAGACCAACTACTTCTCAGAAAATCTTGTAGCGCTGGCAATCAAACCCGGTACCTCTGGATCTGTATGAAGCCAAGAACTCTGACCACTAGACCACAGAGTCGGTCCACAAATAAAAACGGAATAATATATTTGCGATTAAGTGAGGCTTCTACTAATCATGC